TCTCTCTCTCTCTCTCTTCCTCTTCCCCTCTCACTCTCTCTTCCTCTTCCTCTCTCTCTCTCTCTTCCCCTCCTCTCTCTCTCTGTCTCTCTCTTGCTCTATCTATAAATATTGTAAATCCGGTGGCTAGATGCGGGAGCACGAAGACTTTCGGCCTAGCCTTTTGGGTTCCCCCCACCCCGTCCACCCCACCCCACCCCACCAACACGATCGCAAACCAACAAACGCGAGGCTGGCGATGACTGGCCAAGCCGCAAAAATTGGGCAACCTAGCACAGCACGGGGTCCCCGAATCGACTTGTCGCATAAATATTGATGGATTGCCAAGGAGGATAGACACGTTCCGATATGCTAACCCTTTCCTCCCTCCCTTTTATCTTCAGGCTTGAGTGAGCCGAAAACCGGACGGGCATCGCGGCGATCGCCGCTCCGAATCAAGCGAAAGGGTATAATGTAGCGGCGATTACCGATGACGCTCGACTCGAGGAGTGAGGAGCTTCGATCGGTGCCCTTTACACGCGCGACCACACAACATTTGGCTTTCAACGCAACTCCCGCCGCTTTAACAACAATTATCGACCGAAATTTGGCCACTCGAGCCGCGCCACCTCCATCCTCGCTTATCACGGGACCATATCGATGGAGCCCGCATTTATTATGCAAACGCGGCGATCTTCCGCATTACAACTTCGAGTGAAAGAAGACGAAATAAAGCACGAGCGATGCGGAACCAGAAGCGACACGATGATTTATTTAACGAGCGAGCGAGACGAGCGTATGTGGTAGATCGCTTGAAAGCCGTGAACCGCATCATGTCGGCACGCACTTTCACGATCATCTCGATCGCGAAAATATTTCGTTACTCTGGCTAATAGGGCCCGCGTGCATGGCCGTCGCACCGCTGTGCGATTGCGATGCATTTTAGAATCGTAGAATTGTAAAATCGTAAAATCGTGACCCGATATGGGGCCGCGTCAATTTACCTGCACCCTGGACTCGGGCAGACTGATCTTCACGGCAACCTCCTCGCGCATGAAGATGTCGGGGTACCTCGTCTTGGAGAATAATCCCTCGAGGACGTCGAGCTGGGCTCGGGTGAACGTCGTCCGCTCGCGACGCTGCTTCCGTTGATTCATGCCTGTTCGCCAAAAAATAAAAA